CAAATATTTAGTAATAGAAACCACGAATCACATCGAACGGATATGCATTCCCACATTTCAGGTTTGTTAGTCGTGTCAACTACAAAAACATTAATAAAAACTAAAAATTCGTTGAAAAAAACCGCATATACGTGATAAACTTGAAATTAAATAATTTTCCCATGCCCGGAGTAGCAACAATAAATTTTATTTTATGTAAAGAAAATGTCACAAAATTATTTCATTTCATAATTTATGTTGCAATTATTGTACGTGTAAACAATTTGTTAACACTTTGGGGCCCCATAAATTCATTATTTGCTGCAATATTGAAACGACACTAATTTCGTTAAAATTTATTGTTCTGTATAAAAAAAACGTAAATAAATGGAAAATAAAAATAGTCATTTAAAATTTTAAATATGCAACAAATTAATTAACAAATTAGTTAATTATAATTTCAAAAAAAAATTATTATAATTCCGATGTAATCTATTTCCGCTGAACTTTTATTTGGAGTTCCATAATCAGAGTAATTCATTATTAAGCTGTGAACTATGCTTCATAGAACTTGATACTGACATTATTGGTAACTCCTAACACCAAGTAACCAAACGCTTTTTTAATGAGAAAAAAAAAACTGTGAAGTTAAGTAATGTATATAAAAATAGGTTTCAAGTCAAGTGGATTATACTGTTCTTTAACAGATACTTATTAAGCAGAAGGTATTTAGCTTGCTTGCTTAAGTAACGCTAGAATTTTAAAGGCTGAAGTACAATTAGAAATGAGTTTAACGAGTTATAATGCAAGTAGTAATAAAAAAAGCAACAAACAATTTGGAAGACCTACAAATTACTCAGGTTTTTTATACAAAAATGGGTACTGGAAAGTTTTTTTTTTTGCTTTCCTACGGTTCCAGATTCCAGGAAAGCAACTGAATAATATCTGTTTGAACTTTCCACTTGGTTTGCTCGTTAAAAAATTCTTGAAAGTACACTTTAAAAAACTATCCTCTATAAGAAAAATATTAGTAGATTTGATTTCCCAACTTTGGCCTAATTTCCAATTTCCCAAAATGTTTTAATTTCATACATTGGCACATGAATTTATTACATGAAATATATTAGTGCAAAATCAAATTATAACAGCCATGATTCTACCAATAAAATCAACGTCACCTAATTTAAATATTCTCATAAAAAAATATATAGTTGGGGCCGATATTACAATTTTATTACGATATTACGATATTGAAAAAAAAATGTTTACAAAAAAGATATTTAAAAACGTTATTGAAAAACAATTCAAAATACGTAATTAACGAAACATAATATGAAAAAAAAAATTTGAAAAAATTAAATTTATTAAAATCGTGTTAAATTATTTGTTTAAACTGCCAACGACTATTTGAACTCCCTCGAAAACATTGGGCATGTATCCGGGCAAAGGGAATTATTATGAAGAACCTGAAGGACAATCATGAATTTTTGGTAATTCGATTAGAACCAGAGGTACGCCAGCTGTAATTTAAAATATAAATAAATTATCATTTGATTAAGAATAAATAATATAAATAATAATATTTTGAGATATGTAAATCACTTAAATAATGCACACCAATTTGTGCATCTAATTTTCAATCAGATATTTGATTTAAACTATTAAAGTTTTTGAATCAATTTAAATAGATTAAATCAAGGATAATGATTAAGGATAACAGATAAATTATAAGGTATTTTAAATAATGTTTCTATTTATAGTAACTTTTGTTGTAATATATTATTATTGCATTTATATTATATTTTCAATGTAACAGATTTTATATATTTTTAATTTTGACTACTGAACGGTTTATTTGTTACATGCTTTGGTGTTATATTAAATATACATAATTTTTTTAATCATACTATAGCTTATATTTATAAGAAAAACAATGAAAGTTAAAAATAATAATGTACAGAATGATATTTAATGCTACTTTTATGTAGAATAAAAAGCTTTGCTTCAACACATGGGAATTGAGATTAACAGTTTAGCAAGAGAATAATACATAATAAAAATATATAATAAAAATATATAATAAAAATATATAATAAAAGTATGCGATAAAAATAAATAATAAAAATATATAATAGAAATATATAATAAAAATATATAATAAAAATATATAATAAAAATATATAATAAAAATATATAATAAAAATATATAATAAAAATATATAATAAAAATACATATAAATAAAAAGTATTATATAAAATATATAATATAATATATATACAAATATATAATAAAAATAAATGATAAAAATATATAATGAAAGTTTATGTGATATAACATAAATAATAAAAATATATAATAAAATATATAATAAAATATATTAATATTAAAATAAAAAAAAACCCATATAATAAATACATATAAAAATATAATAATAAATATATAATTAAATATAATTAAAATATTATAATAAAAATATATAATAAAAATATATAATAAATATATAATAAAAAATATATAATAAAATATCATAAAAATATATAAATAAAAAATATATAATAAAAATATATTAATAAAAAATATAATAAAAATATATAATAAAAATATATAATAAAAATATATAATAAAAATATATAATAAAAATATATAATAAAAATATATAATAAAAATAAATAATAAAAATGTATGATGAGAACACATAATATGAATGCATAGTATAAATTTGATCACGATCATCCACTGAAACGTATACTACAGAACTCCGGTGAATTTTTTATTTTTAACATAAATATAATACAATTTTTTTATTTACTGTTTAAGTTTCTTTATAGAGAATTACCTGAGCCAGCAGGATTAATATGATCCTCTCTGCGTAAACTCAAATTTTGGCGCCTTATTTCCTTCTGTTCCTCCTTCCAGTTAGGCTTAACATAACAGTGTTCATCTGCGACTACATATGGCTTCGGTATGTTATTACCTTGATTCAGTTTCCTCAGTGTTAATGAGCCACTTCGTTTTTTCACAGTATTATGTTTGGAATAACATGTACCTCGGTGTGTAATCAGGCGCACATCAATTTCAAATTCTTTAACTTTAATTATAGTTCGTAATTCATGCTATATAATAACAAATGATATTAACACCAAAATATGAATAAATCTCGGAAATGTAATATTGTAATAATATAATAATATTTATTTAGGTTAATTCTACTAACTTTCTCGTATCATCCACCGATGAATATAAGCTTTCTCTTTGACGTGGCAACTTTTTTCACCGTTTTTGTGCTTTCTTCTTATCAGTATTCATTTTTTTGTTTGTTGCTTTGTTCATTTTACGTAAAAAAAAATATTTATTTTGAGCAATTTATATTTGCATTCAAATCATCTACGATATTCTGTTTATATTTCATTGCCACTCCCACTTTTTATATTTTCCAAAATTGTTAATGTCCTGATCTTCACCATAGCTATTGGAAAGATACAACAATATTGCTTTAAGTTTTTGCAGTTAATGGCTAGTATCATAGTTCTTTGTTGAAATACTTTCGGGTTATGCCGAAAATGAAAATTTCATTTCTCGGAAATGTAATATTGTAATAATATAATAATATTTATTTAGGTTAATTCTACTAACTTTCTCGTATCATCCACCGATGAATATAAGCTTTCTCTTTGACGTGGCAACTTTTTTCACCGTTTTTGTGCTTTCTTCTTATCAGTATTCATTTTTTTGTTTGTTGCTTTGTTCATTTTACGTAAAAAAAAATATTTATATTGGATAAAAACCCTATTTTCTTCACAAAAAAAAAAAAAACTACAAATACTGCTACACTTCAAAAAACCACAATTAAAGCGAATGTGTTTTTCCGCTTATCTTCCTTACGTATTCATAAAAGGAGTGAGTAAACTACTGCGTTTAATCTTTACTCATAAATACAGTTGGAAAGAGACAACAATATTGCTTTAAGTTTTTGCAGTTTCTAAGAAAGATATAGCAAGCATGATTCTAAGCAGCATACGTCTATATTTATTAATTTTATCCACATAGTAACAAATTGAATCATATATGTATTGTATATCATATTTTATTATATTTCACATCATTATATATAATATATTGTATTATATCATATAATATTATGTTGCATTACATATCACATTTTATACTATATCATATATTTAATTACATATCATCTTATATTATGTCACATATCATATTATATTATACAATCTTTAAACCATATGTTTAAGGTATGTGTAGACTTAAGCTTTTCTTATCCGTTTAATTATTACGCCTAGTAACGCATGGTTTTTGTATGGTAAATGTCATTAAATCCTATATCGAGATTATCCAAAAAAAAAGATTTAAGTACGATGGTCTAAACACAGCATATTAGTGCTTAGCTAATTTTTCGAAGTTTTAAAACACTCTTCAATCTTCAAGTTAGATAACAGAATTGAGTTGATTATTTCTAATTTTTTGGATAAATGACATAGTGACTATAATAATTTAGTCACAAATGACATAGTGACTAGATACCTATATAGCCCATTTGATACAAATAAGAATTGCACACATAAATAAATTATTAGCATTTTAAGCACAAAAGGTCACACAATTTTACTATGAACTCATGTTAGAATACCAGAAATTTTAGTAGAAAATTTTATATATAGTCTAATCTGTGCAATATTTCTGGTAAGGTTCATCTACTTATAAATACTGTTTAATAAATACACAATTGTGAACCCATCCTGCTACTACTAATTGTGTCTTCACACCATAATGCATCCTTTATTCGTTACGTATTCAAAACAAAATAATTGAAAAGTGATTTTGAAAGAAAAAGATAGCTAGCTGTAATTGAGTGTATGAAGAGTCAAGAATTATAATTTCTCTTTTATATTTGTCATTCTGTTCAGATAGACGACATATTAAAAAATTTTAGTTGTATTAAAAACTTAAAAGAAAAATATAAAAAATGTCGGAAAATATTAAAAAAACATTGATTAATCCAAATATGGAAGAAGAATCATCGTCATCAGATGAGGAGTCTAGCAATGATTCAAACGTTTCTGGATGTGAGACCAACAATGGCCAAATGTTTTCTTTGAAGTCGGTAAATTTAGTCGCAGCGTGGTCTAACACCTCAGAGTTTTGCGCAATATGCCATGAACCATTAGAAACGAAATGCATTAAATGCATCGTAAACAACATTAATGGTGATGAAATCGTCGACTGTGACATTGGTTGGAGCAGCAATTGCGATCATGCATACCATGTACATTGCATAAATCAGTGGATAGGCATTAAAAATGTGTGCCCACTTGATTCTTTGGAATGGAAGGGATACCAACAAAAATAAAGAAATCACCGATAATTATTTTTGTGATGTGAGGCTAGACAACAAACAACAACAAATAAATTTTTCATCTTCAATGTTCAATAAATCTTATGCATTTATATTAAAAAAAAATTATATTACAATGAATTTTTTGAGTAAATTAGGAGTGTTATGCATCAGCGTAGTTAAAGCTTAAAAAAGCTTAAAGCCAAAATCTGGCTTAAGGGTTCTAAACGCTTGCGTCGTTTTCGATACCCTGTGCTGAATGTCTTGCCAACTGCCGCCGTTGTTCGAAATGTAGCTTCCCAGATACCACAAACTTTGTACATCTTCGATGTAGGCGCCATCTAGCTGGAAATTCGTTGAGCAGTTTGAATTCAAGACAGTTTGAATTGAAGACTTGCTTTTGCTGATATTGATTGACAGACCAGCGGCCAGTGCACGCTTTGCGATGTTAACGATACTTGTATCAGGAAAAAGTTATGTGTTAGCAAACAGAAGTCATCCGCATATTCAAGGTCGGTGAGTTTGTTTTGGAGGCCGAATGAGATGCTATGATCTGCGCTCATAGCTTCCGACATAGCCACATCTAAGACTATATTAAATAGAATAGGTAAAAGGATACAGCCTTGTCGAACGCCAGACTTAATATGAATTCGTCTATCCACTTGGAGCATTCCATCAGGTTACCATTCTTTAGTAGATTAATAATGATAAATTAGAGTGTACTAATTCGTACTAATAACTTTTTTACACAACTGTTGCTTATACACAAATATGTTATAATATATTAAAACATATAATATATTATAGTTGCTTATACACAAATGTATATACATATGATATATAATACATATAATATATTAAAACATATATTATATGATAACATGTATATTATAACATGTTATAAATTCTTACAAGTGACATAACTTTTTGAATTTTAAAAGTATTATACAGAAGAGTTAATATTTTAATAGTATTTATATATGTAAGTATTTATTATAATATTTATATATATGTATATATATTGTCAGCTGAATCTATTAAAATATTGAATCTGTAAATATAAATATATATGCATATGCTATGAAAACTTTATTAATAGGAAACTTATTAAAAAAAAAGTGCGCACATTTATTTTAAATACCCTACATACAAAAAAAATTATGACAACATATCGGCAATATGATACTTGTCACGTTTTACGCTAATCTTGTCATGTCATGATAGAAGCTAGAACTAAAAGAAATCCGAACTTTTAGCTTCATTTCCCCAGGCTACGACTAACTAAATTCGGATCTTATTATACGAAATACATGACGTACAATATAATGCAGCATTAACCAAGGCAATAATGCTTCGACAAAGGTTAGTATCCCACTCCGAAAAACCAAAAATCCACAAATTAAACTCCAAAGCTCGGAAATGTACGGAAAAATTTATTGACGATTGTCAACTTTCACATGCAGAAAGAAATAGGAATATGGAACCTACGGATTTTAATTGAAACTTCGCGCCTGGCTACGATTTGTCTGTTTAACGATAATGAATTCGTTTGAATTATGTATATAAGGGTCCGACTTCATCACCAATCATATTTTAAATTTCACAATTGACTTTAATTTAGTATAAATTAAACCAACAATATTGATCGCTTTAGCACCACTTTAATCAGTATTGACACATACTTCATGACTGTAAAATCAGCCCTTAAAAGAGCAAAGAGCAAAGATGGTATGTACTGTACTGTAACTTCATTTCGTAGAAAAAATAAAATATCTTTGGAAAATCCATAAACAGTCTATAGTAAGCAATTATTTTGCATTGCATATATATTTTTTATTGTTATATTAGCATATAACCTTCATGATGTCTGCTAAATGTCTTCATCTTTAGCTTAGACATGAAGTGCAATTTCATTAAAGCTTTACTTTTTATGGAGAAAAACTTTGCTTGTACAAATCCCTCTTCTTTCTTTTTCTTCTTATTCTGAGTGCCTTACCTACTTAAAACCTTGGATAACATAGCTTGGAGAGAAGCAAACTTCTACTTTTATTTAAGCACTATTATAAATTTTTAAACCATTAACAAGACAACCACGTCCTTCATCAATAATGCCCTTAATTCTTTCTTTAATTCTGCCTCAATTTTTCCTTTAATTCTGTCTTCAATTCTTCCTTTAATTCTGCTTTTAATTCATCCCTTAATTCTGACTTTATTTCTGCCTTTAATTCATTCTTTAAGTTTGTCTTTAATTCCTTCTTTAATTCTTCCTTCAATTCTGTCTTTAATTTTTCCTTCAGTTTTGCCTTTATTTCTTCAATAATCTACTAAATATTTCGTATTTTTTTTGGTAGACTTCAGATATTACCGAAGTATTTCATATTTAACCATTTCACTAACTCCAATATTTTTATTTACAAATCCAAAATAAGGCAAATAATAAAAAGAAAATTCCATAAACAAATGCAGTGCAATCGATGTTTAGTTATAAATGTTAAGTATCTGAAGGAAAAAATATAGTCAAAAGATGATTAATACTTTCGGGTTGAAGCTAGTACGTTGTATGGGAATGTATACCCTTACGGAAGAGGTAATAAAACTCTGTAAAGTAAGTTCTATACTACTTTTTATCAAAGCAACAAACCTTACGAGACTTACTTTAAGCCCAGAAGAGGGGACAATAGACCCGACGATCTCAGTACCACATCCCATATCAACAATATAATATATATATAATATATATATAATACATATGTATTATATATATAATATATATATAATATATATATAATATATATATAATATATATATAATATATATATAATATATAGTATTGTAGTACTGTTCTTAGAAACATTGAAACTTCAATGAAAGCGGCAAGCAACTTTTGATAGTTTCGCCCAGAACTTATATCCTGCTACATCTATTATCGAGGTGCTTAACTAGTGCAAAGCAATGTCTATATTGTGTAGAGGTTTGGTTCGTAGGGTGTTCTAATACAAACTCGACTTCCGCTATTTGCGTGTCACATTTAATAAAACAAAAATCTTGTTTGTACAAAAAGTTTTTGCATTGTATACTTTATCGCTAGAGATTTATGATTTGTTATATAAAAGTTTTAGAATTTCATGTGATTTTTATAGTGCACAGCAAAAAATCCTTACAAAAATAAATTTTAATTGATTTATTAACTTTTTCCCAAAAATGTCACAGTGAAAACTTTGATGGAAAATCGTTTTTTGATATGCTATGTTTAAAGCTATTTTGGCATAAAACAAATGGTAGTGTACAGCGAATATCCCTTCAATATTTTATGATGCAGTATACCAACAAAGTTTAAAATTTCTTATCCAGAGAGAAATGTTTGATTTAGAATTTTCAAAAATGTGTTTTTTTCTTTTTTTGGGGGGGAGGGGGTTTGGAAAATATACTCGTATATAGTATACATTTTAAGTCACGAAGCAGTGAAATATAGAAGGATACATAGTAATGAAATAAAATGGAATTGCATGCAATTTCATTGCATTTGTTTGTAATTAATTACATTATTATGTTAATACTAGCTGCTATATGGCATTCGTTTGTAAAAATTGTGTGTATATAAAAAGGGATCATATTATTATATATCTACACATGTATTCGTATATATTTAAATTGCTTGTAGTCAGCGTTGGCATAGCACATCTCGCACTGCCTTTTTGCCTTCATCTTGCACAGAATACTCGTACAAACTGATGTGCATCATCATATGCTGTTTAATGTTTTTATGCTCTGTTTCGAAACATTTCATTACATTGACTTTTTGGGGAATACTTATAAAAAATTTATACTACAGAGCAGCAGATACAACAGGAAGAAATGACAAAGAAAGTCAAAATACGCAAATGCAATGTACAAATTGAGATCAAAAGTTGTTTGCACAGAGTTCTACATTACACAGCAACGCACAAAAAACTTTTAATTAAATTTCACATCATCTTTTTTACCCAAGTGGTAAATTACTATAGTATTTAAAAATTAAAAATACAAAAAAGAAAAAAAAAACGTTACAGAAAATAAATAAAATTATGTAAATAAAACTTTAAGTGAAAAATAAAGATAAAGTAAGGAAAAAATAATTTCATTTAACCTAGTTATAAAGTAGGCCCACCATGGTAAACCCTTCAGACTTAAGGAGTATATAATAGCAATATTTTCAAAAAAATATAGTGCACTTTCTGAATAATCTTCTATTATTATACTTATTTGGAAAGTATAAGAAATATCCCCACACAATATTTAGGGGAAAAGACCCGACAGTCGCAATGCCACATTCCCTAATAATAGCAATTCATATACATAAAACAACTTCAAAGCTAGAGAGCGATTGATAGCACTAATCTATCACATATTAAGGCAACGAAGAAGAAAACATACCAAAAAAAAAGAAAAACTTTCAGAAGTTCAACAAAGGCTAGGATTAAACTTCTTACATCCAGTATTATATGAGTTGTAGCTTGGAAGGTATTAATCGCGTATTACACATCAGATTTAGTCGTACAACTTGTCTGTTGTGCTAAATCTGATGTGTAATAGCAATATTTGATGGTCTGACAAGAAATCGGATGAAAATCAAAATTTTTTAATTTTTTAGTCAAAATTGTTTGTTTTTTCGTATACAATCGGATTTTTAACTGCTTACATACAAAACTTCATTCTATTGTAAGGAATAGAAGCGAAAACATGGGTTAAATGCATATATGATTTTCTTTTGTAGTACATTTGTTGTTGTTTTTGATGGGGACGTGTTCAAAATTATGTCGACTGTGTCTAATGTATAATAGCAAGCGACGTCAAACAAGATATATGACCAAATCTAATGCGTAATACGCGCTTTAGAGAACTGCAATGAGTACTCAACACTCGACTCATACTCGAATCATTGACTGAGTTTTATTTATATGCTTTCTGACTGTCTTTTTTGTATATGCGACTCCGCCTGATTCAAACATACAGCTGCCAGCACTTATAATAACTTATACTCTGCTCATATGATACTCATAAACACCGACATTCGACACAAAAGTCACACAAATGATTTATGATTCATTCATGAATATTACAACACAATCGGCAGAAAATTGCCTATGGTTGTATACGTTGTATACATTGTGACCGAAAGGTTTTCGGAGGTTCTCATTTAAAATTCGCGCGCTGTATATTTTTCGATATTTTAAGTTTATGTAGTTTGGCAGCACTGTCCTTAATTACTATGCCCAAAAATGAGCCGCGATCTGTCGGACAGTTCGTTTACGGCAGCTGTTGAAACCAGTTCACCTCAGTAGTGCGTTGCGAAAAAAACAATGGAAAAAAATATTGAACAAAGAGTTTGCATCAAATTTTGTTTTTCGAACGAAATTTCGTGTGCAGAATCGTTGCGAATGCTACAAAAGGCTTATGGGGAATCAGTTTTATCGAAAACTCAAGTTTATGAGTGGTACAAAGCCTTTCAGGACTGTCGTACGACCGTCGAAGACATGCCGCGTTCTGGACGACCTTCGACCTCTACCACCGACGAAAACATTGAAAAGGCAAAGGAAATCGTGTTCAAAAATCCTCATGTGAGTGTTAGAGAGATAGCACGAGAGCTAGGCATCGGTCGTGAGATGGCTCGTTTGATTTTGGTGGACAATTTGTGTATGCGACGTGTCAACGCCCGGCTTGTTCCGATTCACCTCAATTTGTTCAACATTATCAACGATTTTAAGGCCAAACATTCAATAAATACCATCGAACAGCCACCGTATTCACCTGATCTTGCACCGTGTGACTTTTTCCTGTTTCCCAACCTCAAATTACCACTCAGAGGAACGCGTTTTGAATCCATAGAAGACGTAAAACAGAATTCGCAGAGGGAACTCAAAGCCATACCGGAAAGCGCCTATAAAAAATGTTTTGATGATTGGAAGAAACGTTGGCATTTGTGTATCGCTTCTAATGGAGCATATTTTGAAGGAGATAAAATAAATATTGATGAAGATTAAGAATTTTGCGTTTTATTTAAAATTTCCGGAAGCTTTTCGGTCACAATGTAAACAACCTCTAGTTTAATGCACACATAATATTTAAGAACACAAACAAAATACATGCATTTACGATGCTAACAACAACAACACACACCAAAAGCATCAAACTAAAAGCACACAGAAAATTTTTCTCAGCAAACAACAGCGCTCACATTAAATTTCTACGAATGCCACAACTAATAGAGTCATTCATTTTCGATGCGTATATTCATACTCATATGCATACTCACATGAGTATATTCATACTCACATAAGTATATTCCTACTAACATGAGTATATTCATACCCACATGAGTACATTCATACTCACATGAGTATATTCATAGTCACCTGAGTATTTGCTGTAATTCATAAATCATTTGCCATTTAAATTACTTTATTTAGAAAAAATTGTATTTATCATAAATATAATATAAATATTATTTAATTGTTCATTAAATCAATTTTTCAATAACTCACATGAAAATCTTAAATTTACAATTTGGTAGTTCCGTGATACCTCACAAGATTAAAATATTGAAAGATATTAAACTATTAGAGAAGTAATAATACGTTAATAAAATAATATAATGTATTATTACTATTATATATAGAGGGGAAAAATGTGAAGAAAAAATCGTAGAATCATGAATTAAATATAATTCACTTAAAAGTAATATAGAATTTTTTCTTATTATAGTTTTGCTAATCAAATAAATTTATTTATTTTTTACAAAATATTGCGCTTCAGTAACATTTCATATATTATAATATCAAATAGGTCTGGCAATGCTTAAGTACAACTATTACAATAAACAACTAAGCAAGGCATTATTAATTATATTTCAAGTATGCAACATCCATAAAAGTCAAAATTTTTCATTTCAAATTGAAATAAAAAGTCATCAGCCATAGGTTTTTTGGTACGGGAACTAAAAAAGTTTAAACTGCTAAAAGGTGGGTGTTATAAAATATTTATGTTAATGTATATTTTTTAATTTCTCATTTCAACTCCTGTTTTTTGAAGTACTTAATTAATAACAGGTAATAATCTTTTTCTTTTCATTTTAGGTGATTTGATCCACATATCTTACTTAGAAATATTCCACTACTCTGCAATGACTCACGTTATTCTCCTGGTTCAAAATACTAGCGATGAAAGTAGCCGCAGTTTTTCTGACTATGAAAGCATTAATGATTGTGTTGAAGATATATGCACTGTATATGCGAAACATCTTCATAAGTCTTCTCGAAAAAGGAAGACGCTAACATACGATATAAGGGCTCTTTTCAATTATATCGATAGCTTATACGAAATGACTGCTCTCTTGAACCAGAAGACTAAAAACATCTATTCCTCACGTGACAAGAAATGGATTAAGGATAGGATTTATGTTTACATGCGTCAAAAGGCTGAAAACAATGGTTCAATATGCTCAGCTTATTTTGAAATTAAATAAAGGCTGTGAAGTTATTGAAATTTAGTTTGTAAAGACTTTGCAGAAAAATATTAAATAAAATCGAACAAGTATTCTTTCTCTCTTAAACCAACAAGTTTAAGTTCTAAGTTTCTTAATGTATGTTTGGGTGAAGGTCAGTAAATATGGTACTTAAAGCGTGAAAGACTTTTTCAACTCTGCATATTTGTGCAATATAGTGAAATGTATAACTCCCATAGCTACAGTAAGTTTTCTAATAACAATCACCCTACTTTCTTGCTTTGTAAGCTAGCTCAGCTTACGTCCATATTTGAAGTTATCAACTCACTAGCAACTCTCTCCTTTTCCACAAACATTTGAAGTCGGCCAATGAAAAAAATTATTAAAAATTATTTAGACAGTAAAAGCTGGTAAAAATCTCAATATTGACATTTTTAAAGTATTATAGATAATAAAGAAATATAATTTTCGTCAATAAGCAAACGCCTTCATGTTTAGGCACAATATATTTATAACATTCTACATAGCAATATTAATAAAGTATATTATTGAATTTATGTATTGTTATATTACTTATTATTATAACATATATTTATCACTATATTAAGATTATGAATTTCGACTGAATTTAACTATACGAAAAGGTTTCAAAGAATTTAGTTATCATTGACATTTTCAAATAAATTTGTTCGATAAATTAAATCAAATATAAAAAGAGAAATTTTTATTTTTGTCATTTTGCGTTTACAGATTTTGTAGATAGGATCAATTGATTAGTATATTTTATAAAATCAATTGAAAGTACGATTTTCGATATTTTTCTATAATGGCTTTACCACTCAAACCACAAATTACTAAAATTTTGGAACAAGACGTTTGTAAGTTGACACATCTTTGTATGTGGAAAAAATTCGCATCTGGATCGACTGATAATAATATGATTGTAAGTAGAACCATACATAAGATTATTGCAAAATTTTATAATTATTTTTTCGAATAAATAATTAGAAAGGGTTAGTTTTGGGTGTATATACTGGCGAAGGTGAGCAGGAACCTAAGTTAAGTGTTACTGCCGAGAAGTTTAATGATCGGGTCAATGGTAAAATTGTACAGCTAGTGCGAGAGTAAGTAAAATATTGACTATATAAAAAATTATATACATATATATATAAAAATATATAAATAATGACACGTACCATTTCTGTATATTTGCAAAGATGGAACATAACGGGTGATGTAGGTAAAGGAAAAGTGTTTAATAATATAGATCCAGAATTTAGATCTATTGCAGTCGTTGGTGTAGGTGAACAAAACGTTGGCTTTAATGAAATGGAAATAATTGACGAGGGGATGGTGAGTAACAGTGATATCTTTAAAAATCGGCATAAAAGTATTTTTTTATTGTGAAAAAAAAAATTTATCAATATGACAAAATTTTTTGACATAAATATCAATTTTCGAAGGCAAAGATTTAAATTTACTAAAATTCATTTTATTAGCTCAGACAAATGGAATTTTTTTAGAAATAAAAGTGAGTCCATCCAATATCTATCATTGTTTTTTACAAATTTTATTTTGGAGCAAAAATTTTTCTAGTACTTTGCGGTACAAAAACTCAGTCAAATATAAGCGTTTCAATTTCCCACGGTGCATTTCAGTGAATATAATTTTTCTTATATTGCACTTCAAAATTTCTTTATAAACTCGTACCTATTTGATAGCCTGATAGCCGGTTGTCTTTGGCTAAATAAAAAACAAAAACAGGGAATGAAGAATGTGGGTTCGAGTGATGTTAAAATAATAATTGATGTTTTCTGGAACAACAATTTACATAAATTTCGACTTTGACACCACAATAAACGTAAGCCTAGCAAATGTAGATGTCAAATTGTACTACAAGGACAGCAAACTTTATAAGTATGGACATTAAAGTGTAGTACAAATGGAGCTCCGTAATATCTGTAGTAAAAATCCGCGTTTTTCTAGGCTGTTATACACCATATAATAATTTGTCATTATAAAACGTGAAGTAATTTGTTTCACAAATTTTTTAGGAGAATGTTCGTATAGCAGCAGGTGTAGGTGCACGTAGCTTACAATATCACGGATGTTCTCATATATACATTGACGACCTTGAATATCCTGAACAAGCAGCGGAAGGGGCTTCATTGGCTATTTACCGCTATAATGAATATAAGTTGGAAAAACATCGCACACTTTCGCCACTTCTACACCTATACGACTCATCAGATGTCGATGCATGGACTCGTGGTTTATTTAAGGCAGAAGCACAGAACTTGGCTCGCCGCCTTACCGACACACCAGCAAATCGAATGACGCCAATGCACTTTGCACAGTCGGCTGTTGACGCCCTCTGCCCCTGCGGTGTGACAGTCGATGTGCAAAGCATGGAATGGATCGAGCTGCAGCGCCTTAACTCATTTTTAATGATAGCGAAGGGCTCCTGCGAACCACCAGTCTTGTTAGAAATCAATTATTGCGGCACATCACCAGAGGATAAGCCCATACTATTGTTTGGTAAAGGTATTACATTTAATAGGTAATATCATAGTAAAGTCGTATTGTATTATTATTATTCAAAATTTATGTATTCTGAACTTTAGTGGTGGTCTTTGCCTACGTAGTAGACGTGGTATGGCTGAGTACAGAGGTTCGATGGCTGGTGCAGCAGTTGTTGTAGCTACCATCCGAGCCGCAGCAGCCCTGTCTCTTCCCATCAACGTTACGGGTGTTATACCACTTTGTGAAAATACACCATCCGGTATGGCAGCCAAACCTGGTGATGTCGTCGCATTACTGAATAGGAAAACATTATCTATGCGTGTACGTAATATTTAAAAAGAACATATCTTAATTAAACTATTAAATAACTTAACTATGGTTTTAACAAATAGGATGCTGACAAGGCTGGTGTTGTTGTTATGGCGGATCCAATTCTTTACGCGCAGGCTGCTTATAAGCCACGTCTAGTTGTTGATATAGCCACTTTAAGTAAGGGAGTGGGGCAGGCTTTAGGTGGCTCAGCAACTGGGCTGTTCACTAATTCTAATTTCATCTGGAAGCAGTTCCAAAAAGCTGGAACTATAACAGGTGACAGAATGTGGCGTTTGCCGTTGTGGAACTATTTCAAGAAGCTTGTGACAAGTATATTTAAAAGGTTATATGATATTTATAGATCTCTACTAAAACGTATATTTTTCAGATAACAAGAGCTTCGATGTGAGCAACGATGGAACAGGCCCGGCTTCTGCCTGTCTTGCAGCTGCTATATTGCATGTAAGCGTTTTTTAATATTATTTTCATTCTTTCGCAAATTTTTTATTTATTATCTACTTTTATACCCCAAATATTTATACTATTGTGTTTATCGTTATATAGGAATTCGTGCCTTGTCTTGATTGGGTGCATCTTGACATACGTGGTGTGGGAATGCTCACAAAGTTTGGAACTATGCCCTACTTGTTGAAGGACAGAATGACTGGACGTCCCACTAGGACAGTTATACAATTTCTGTTTCAGATGGCCTGTCCTGATACAAAAAAGTGAAACCCTTTACAAGCAACCACACACAATTAATAAAAATTCTCCCTGTCGACACAACTGTTTTTAATGGAAAATCGTCGCAGGGCAGTAAACATCCGTATGATGTTTCAAACATGGGCAAAGAAACATTCAAAACTTTCAAAAATCTTCAAATACGGACAAAAAAATTTTTTCGTTATGAATCAAATTGTAAATATTCTAATTATAAAAATACTCTGCATGCATAACGTTTATTGGATCCTCTAAAGAATGTAGTCGACCTTCACAAAGATGAAGATGATTTTAGAAAAAAAATTTGCTGTTAATTTGGAGTAATTGAAAATAAAGTATACAGAGTTTATCGAAGTAAAATTAAGTAATGAGAAGTTCCTAAGAGCTCTTAGGAACTCCTTAATATATATTAAAAATGACGAGGACAAAAGAACAACATGGGCTAAACTTTTGAAAATTTTTGAATTGAAAATCGTTTTATAATGATATATTATATATATATACAGAATTATTTATTATATGCTAAACTAGAAAACGTATTTGATGTATACTTAAATTCGTCGTTACTAAGACGAAAGCCTAAGGAAATAAAAAAAAGACATCAAATAAACAAAACGGTTTTTAATTTTGGAGGAAATTTTTTTCGCCTTTGTCAAATTAGGTAATGACATTATTTGTCATGCATGTCCATAATAGAAAGACACTCATAGTGCAACTCACTTGAAATTTTATGCAAAAAACAGTGGTGAAGTGTCTTACCTCATGGTTTTTTCGCAGTAAGCTGTATTCGCATACGAAACAAAATTAATGCTACTTCAAAGGTAAACATGGGGACTAACTGAGTAGTCCATACAACCTTATCAACAGAGTTAAGATAAGTTATATTTTCAGTGTACTAAATAATTAAGTTCTCATAATTTTATAGTGCAATAGATTATTTAGTTCAATATCGCTGAGGAACATAACCTGACTAATTTGATTAGGCAGTTCCGTTCAGTAGTTCATCTGAAATCAAAAAATTGGTGTCACATTTTATTAAAAATATATATTTTATATCAAAATTATTGATATTACTTTTCTTTATATTCTTGATTTACTTAATTTTTAAAATTATTGTATAAATATCTTACTAAAACTAAATGAACAAAATAATATATTAATTTCAAGAACTATCCAACTAAATGAGAACACCACTTATATAAATTTTATCTATCAATTTCTACTAAAATCAAACACTAGATGTGTTAAGTGCCAAGGTATTGTCCGGAATATTAAGATCATCTTATTATGAGGATGTGGAGTTACTTACAGCACAGACATGTTAAGGCACTAATATTGATTGTTCCAGAAATTAGCAGATAGAACTTCGGGCGATGTAGATTTATATGCATGTATTTTATTACTTCTATAATACTATTATTCGTTCATTCCAATCAGAACAGTGAGTTGCACTGTATTTTACTATCATCCCAATCATTCTCCTTATCGTTCTCCTTCTCCTTATCGTTGTCTACTTCCTTAAGAATCATTATAGCTTCAAACTATAATTTCCCTTATATTTCTTTCTGCTAAATATCAAATTGATAGACCTAAAACGTATTTACTATTCTTCGAAGTAGGACCAGATTTTTGTTAAGATTTGCTTTATAATATAATTCGTTCTGATATCATATGAATTGACTGCAATATTTTTGTTGCCGAAGTGATTAAAACTGATGACACACATAAAAATCACATTAAACCTCATAATTCTAGAACAAGAGAATAATGGTTGTAACTTTAAAATGAATGCATCAGGTCGAAAGAAACTATTTTTGAAGAGCCCAATTTAGACCAAAAATTGAATGAGTCGAATACGTTTTGCAAAGCTTAGTAGTTACCAAAATAATAAAAAGTAGTATTTGAAAAAGGATGATAACTGGAATGAAGTTCACCACGGATAAGGGGTTTCTGCTGTAACCAGTTCGTGACAGTATTAAGAAAAGAAAAATTTTAAAGTTCCTGATTTTTAAAAGTTACTGTTTAATAATTAACCAAAAAGTCGAACTATATATTCTCAGAAATGTGATATATTGTGATGATATTGAAGCCAACTATGTATATTATTTACTTTCAGTTGAAAGTCTTTATAATGAAAAAGAAGTTGACTTTAAATTCTAAACCCTTATTTTCCTTGAATGCAATTAAGATGGAAAATAATTATTTTTAACAGAATAGGTAATACAGGATGTTCTATCGCCTCTTCTAATAATATATGAAAACAAATTTCTCAAGAATTACTCAATTAATTTAAAAAGAGAGAGCGGTTGAAGTTGAAATAAATGAATAGATTTACATACAGGCAAAAAGATTCACGTGAATCGTACAACCCTTTCGGAAAGTTAATCTGATTAGAAATATATGTTAATTTAAGCTATAAAATTTCCCTTCTATTTACCAAAAAAGTCAATGTCGATCATTATTAGCTGTTATTGTTATCAATTTATTCTCTATTGTTTGTGGTACAGATTATTTTAATTACTAAGTGTTTATATTGCCAGAAGTTAGTTAGAGATTGTGTTCTAAAAAAAAATTAATTGATTAACATATAAAATTTTTAATATAAGATTTATTAGAAACTTACTTTCAGTTCCTTCGCTTCTCTTGCACTTTTAATTTTGTTTGCACTAAGTTCAGCATTTCTTTTTCTGAATTCTGGATAATTGTGCGGTGGAGGTAACTCATGAGGAACTGGTTTTTTCTCATCTAAACGAACTACCAATTCTTCAGTTTCAGCATTTGCAGCTTTTCTAGATGTCCGTTTAGCTGTTCTCGTAGCGCAAAAGTTCTTATCTGATGTTTTTATCGGTTTCCTAGGCAATTTCGTTTTTACCGCTGGTTCTTCATTCAAGTTCTTCTGCCTAGATTTTCTGTCTGCGTCAACTGCGTATTTTTCTAAATTTTTACTCAATTTCTTAAAACGATCATCGTTTTGATTTTTCCAATCAAAGTGATTTTCAGTAATCAGAACGGCATTTTTTTTAGGCATCCGTCTGGCCGTTTCCGCTGCGAGACTTAGGTTTTCGACATTACGTTTCTCTTTAGAAAAAATATTATGAATAAGTAATATGATATAGTAGAATTGAACCAGATAACGAATCAGATAGATAAGAATTATTATATTTAAATTATGTTTAAACAGACATACTATATTTATATACAAAATAAGCTTTTATATCGAAAGTAAATTCGTATGAGTTTAAATTAATACCCTGTATTTTGGTTATATGCTTTACTACTTGGGTAATATATATGTATTTATATGTCTGGTTTGAATCTTACTTTATTTGTAAATTTTAGAATGACAATATTTGGCAAAAACTATATTTGGCAAATACTATAAATCTTGCAGATTTTCAAAACATTTGATGCAATATTGCATGAAAATTTTGATGATACATACAATTTCATAGAGTCATCAGATAGAATATGTTTAAGGTTGCTAGAATGAATATTGTGTTCAATCTTCACACTTGAAGATTGCTCTAGCAATCCTGCTCTCGCAATCCTGCTCTAGCAAGAAACTATGATAATATGATCTATGATAATACAAGTGAATCTTTGGGAAATGCCGACTAGAATGAAGAAATGGTGTATTAAATTTGATGAATCCAAATTGTTTTGTACTTATAAATTAAAATACAATTAGTCTTCCTATTGCATTTAATAACAATCCCAATCCCCAACCAGATTAGGTTGGGGATATGTTGGAAAAGGAACATATCTCGCCCGCCGATTAACGTTGTAAAAGGATATCTCAGTAAAGAGAAAACAATTAGGTTTAAAGGTGTTAAATATGTGCTGGATGTTTGGTCAAGAATCAAGGGTGTGCTTAGCAGACAAAACAATGATGTACAAATCAATTCTGAAGCCTCATTAATCTAATTGTTGAGTTTAACTAGAAACTAAAATATTAATATCAACCAAAAACTTGAAACAAAAGCACTAAATATACTATGCGTTCCAAGTAATGATACAAAACAGTCGTATCCTTGCCAAATAACTTGTGAACAACGAAAGCAAACTTAGGAAACCTAAGAGAACTACTCCAACCGCCAAATAGAAGTTAATTACACAGAATTTATAATATCAATATGCATAAAATGTCGAAAAGGTACTTACCTCGTGCCCCGGGATTTTCAGCATGCATCTCCTTAACTGCTTCGGCAATGCTGAATAATTTCTGTTTATAACTCATTTTGAAAACGTAAAAATTTGGAGAAGCCAAAGTTTTGGATGGTGAAAGTTTTTGTTGTTATTAGATGAAAATTTTGATATAAGAATATATAAAATTTGATTCAATATCAAATTAAATATTGTTAAAGCTCACCTACTTTGATTAAAAACCAAATAATTTTAAGGCGAGTATGCTAATTCATACTCGCTATATGCACAACATTTGTATTCCAGAAAATTGATACAATATCTTGATTTTTTTTTGGGTTATAAACAACATGGAGTTCTATAATATTTCTCAGAATCGTAGAACTATAATTTGTTAATTGTCATTTGCGTTACTTTTATGAAATTTACCGCTAAGTGATTTATCTACTTTTTTCTAGTCTAATCAGTGTAAAAAGTTTACACTGACTCTAGGACTCGATATCTAAAGAACCAATGTGAAGCGATATATTGCGCAGTAAGAAGCTTTATTTTAAAAGGCAAATTTTAAAAAAATTCAATATTAAGTAACTGGCCGACAACAGACATAATAAAATATATATAATATATATATATGATTTTTCATTCGCATTGTTACATATCTTTCATCATAATTATATCATAATATTTTTTATTATTAACTGTGGCTTCTGTTAGCTACAGAACTGTTTCTAATATAGACCAACTATTGCAATTTTGTACCGAATCAATTTTGTACCGAAGCCATTGAATTTATGAATATATGTATGAGTAAGATTGAACCAAACCACGTATCAAGACATTATAGTTTTGCGGATTCTGTATAGAATCGTTTGTCTGAACCCGTACTTTCGACTTTTAAATGTAGTTGGACCCAACTATGAAGTGAGCAACAGAAGTTTTGCTCATTTTGCGCGGAAGAGTTGGTTAAGAATAATGGAAAAGGTTTTAAAACTTAAATAAAAGTTCAAAATATTGAACAGCTAAACCGAGCTTCTATAAAATTATTCGGAGTTCACAGTCCTGTCTTGAGGTTATGAAGATAAATAGGTTATGTCTGTTGAAAAGTACACTGTTAAAAAAAGTTCATGTTAAATCGGCGGGTGTAAAACGCTTGGTTTTGTGTAGCTAATTGAAAACATAAATATTCAGTTTATACGGTAAGAGGGACAAAAAATGTTGTCCTTTTCATTCTTCTGTACAAATATGTATAAAAAATGGTTGTTCTCGTTTGTTCGACTTTTATGATTGTTTTCTTATAAGAAAAACTTCCTGAAATTTATGAAAAACTGCAGATTTTATTGATTTCAATACAGTCATTGGTAAACGAACATGTGCATTAAATAAGAAATATTTTATAAAATTTTTCCGAACTCCACAAATTAAAAGTGGAAAAGGTTTTACTTGGCTACGCTGCCTCAAGTTGTAGTGTCGAGAATCGCCAGTGTCAAAGTATACGAGGTCCTGCATGAGCAAAAATAAAATTTATATATTTTTCAGAATTTTTGTCTGTTAAGTTCACGAGAAAAGGATATTTTTAGATTTGACTTGATTTATATCTGTGTTACGTGGCTTAGTTGGTGGCTAACTTTGCTTGGCATTTAAATTCGCATGCAACCCACAAAGTAGCGACTGAAGGGCGACAGTTCTTTGCTGCGACAATAGAAACACAAGCGAACGTGGGACCAAAAATAAAAATACTCTGCGAAAGAGTTCTATTTATGACAAAAAAAGTTATTGAATTTTTATTTAATATATAATAAAGAATTTTACCATTAAAAACAAGCCTGAAATAAATATTTTACGAATAAGCCAAGAACAAAAAAAAAGTGTTACAAAATATGTTTCCCGAAATTAAAAATAAATTTTTTAAAAGAAACGTAGTTGCTTTGTCGTGACTTATGGACAGTGGTGTTTACACTGAGGTAACTTAATTATCGAACAAAGAAACAAAACACGGAAAAGAAATTACATTATTTTTATATCAAAATATCTAAAGAGTTATTTCAGTTCGAAGAAAAGTGTTAATGTCATAACTCAGATGTGTTTGTGTTATGGAACAATAGGGCAACGTTATGAGATGTAGAGCTGTAGTATGGCTGCATAAGAGAAATATATGGATTAATTTGTGTTACTACATTTAAAAGGTCAGTATTTGGCTTAATCTAGATCTAAATTGGACAAGAAATTATCTTTTTGCACAAAGAAGTTATTTATCTTTTATGGAAATGTGAGTGGGGATCTATAGAGAACGTAGTTGCAATGCATAAAGAGGCTTGAAAAATAGAAGTTGAAGAGGCTTGAGTTAGAAGGGTCGATGAACGTCGATAATATTTGTTTTAATTGATACTTCGTTTATTGTGATAGTTTTGGGTGAATGCAGAAGTAACGACAGGGTCGAACAGATGTCTCGCAGAGAGAAGGAAATATTGATTAACACTTGAATTAATTTGTGATAAGGGACTGTTAAATTTCCAGTTAAATAATGATCCAGTTTGAGCAAGAACATCTCTTACTTGATGCTTAATCTAATGTAAAAATCTTTGATATATGCAAAAATAAAAACAAGTATCGACATACACACTACACTAGTTCATGCAGAAAAGAATTGCTTAAATAGCAGGTAATTGTTATATTTAAAAAGAAGCTTTCTAAACTCCGATCGAAGCTTACCGCGTTAGGATCCGCTGACATGCCTAAATATTATGTAAACGGGTATAGAACACAAGAAGAATCGACCACTCTTGTAGGCAATTAAGCTGTCAATTTTTAAATTAATCGATATTGACTTCGACAAAATTTTTTTTGAACCCTGGTAAGTCATGTTGATAATTTTATAAAATCGGTTAACTACCTAGATGTCATACAAAACTACTGAAAAAAATAAGTTTATGTTTATTAATACATATCTGCAACTAAGGCCCTATATATAACTCGTAAACACAGGTAAAATTCACTGAGAGTGAGAGTTGGTGACATTGCTATAAATTGGGGGACAGCCTCAAATACCCGGGTATCAAGTTTGATAAGCGGTTCACTTGGAACAAGCACATACAAGACAAAAGAAGTAGTTGTGCGAAAATACTGCAGTGCTTACGATCACTGTTTAAACACAATAACATAAGCGCTAAGAACAGAAGGTTGATCTACAGCCAGATAATCAGACCGGCACTTCTTTACGGACGTGTGGTGTATAGCAAAGCCGTCAACTCTTATGGTATATCCGCAAGCAATAATTTGGTCAAAGTTAGGCAATCCGAAGATTCTTCAAATTGCTATGGTATATCCACACGAATGACATACTAAGATACTTCAGAATAAAGCTATACTGCTAAAGCTATACTGACACACTGCCCTATATAGCACTATTTAATTTCAGAGCAATCACTAGCCGCATGGAGCAGTAGGCAGATCTTAAATCAGTCAGCAAATAATTCACAAAGGTTGTGAGGAATATATAAATTAATTAAAGAGAAGGATTGAACTTTGTAAAAAACTCCAGCTAAGGAAGAATAAATGTGCCCAGTTGCACTAACTCAGAAAAACCTCAACATAAGATAAATATTATATATATATTATATTTTCTGAAAATCAGAAGTAAATCATTTTTTCATATTTTTAGTTATATATGATTATCAAAAAAAAAAAAAAAAATGGTTTAACTTCTATAATAAAATTAATAAGATTTATTTTAAATTTGTAACAGTATTTGTTCACTACTATTTTTTGATTGCATGACTTAAACTTCTAAGATATTGCTTTCAAGTCTTATATCTTTCTATACAAAATATTGTCCGCTGTAACGAGATCTTCGGAGTGTGGCGATAACAATCTGAATGTCTTTAATAAATATATGTAGAAAGTATTAAGCTGCTTGAAGACTTCTTCATATCAGTGCTTTAGAAGTTAGGGAGCTTGGTGTGTATACCAGATGTTCAATAAATGTCAAAGAAAATCGAAACAAAGTTTTTATAAAACACTCGGGTGTGTCAAAATCAAAAACATGATCACATAAAAATACCTACAATTATAGATGTGATCGGAATGCGTACGGAATTATTTACGTTGGGTCTTCATGGTCATTTAAATCAATTTGCTGAAAACTTTCTTTTATTTCTAAAGAGGCAAGTATTGATACATTTATAATTAATTATCTTTAAATAAATTTTCGATTTTAAACTTAAAGAAGTCAATATAGAAAAAAAGTTGTCAGTGCTTCAATTTGGAAACATGAAAGTAGTAAATAAACAAATTTATTTTACAAAGTAATTTCATGTGAATAATTTTACCGCAAATTATTCAACTATTTTAACATAAACCTGATTAGTTAGTTCTTTAGCATTGTATCTCTTGAACTATGTAGAAATTTTGTTGCTGCCAACAATTGCATGCAGCAAATAACACAATAAATAAATTGATGTGGCTTACGGAAAATACTTTTGCAGAAACTTTATATGTGGTTTAAAAGAATGTCTCAGTTGTAAGCGTCTCTGTACTTCTGTGGTGTGGTATTTCTGTATCTTGATTGCACTAAAAACAATAGCAAATGTAATTGCAACAAACCACGAATTCCATGGATACTAATTCCTTACAAAATTTTGTCTTGGAACTTCTCTGCAAATACACCGATATGCTTAACCCCTTCTCAGACTTTTACAAATTTGTTGTTCCAATTGTTGTTGTAGTAGTTGTATTGTGCAATAATTCCCAGCCCCCAGACCCCAGCCGCCATACTCCACCTTCAGCCATTTACCCACAACAGTTGTAATTTGTTAACTTCGCCCGTTCACTATTTACCTTACGCAAGTGTTAAATTGCAATTAATGCTCGGTAAAAAGGAGTAAACTTGCGGTTTTGTGGCTCCTATGCTTTCCTTTTGAAGTTAAGAAAATATGTTTGGTTAATTTTTTTTTTTTTTTGTATTACTTTCTATATTCTGTTTGTTTTCTTGTTTGTTTTGTAATAGTTCTAGGATTTGTATCTCTATCTTATGTGCAATAAAAATGCAAGTTGTGCTCCCATGTATCCACTCACCATTTCTCTTACAGTACTCACACTTTCAAAAAGTTATAAATCAATGAAACTGTTATATCCGTTCTTGTTATTGTTGTTGCTGT